GGCAGCTAAGAGGCAGGGATTGCTCCTGAAGCCACAGGAAGCTGGTCCTCTGGTCTTCATACTGAAGGCATCACAAGGCCTTCACAAATGCACTTTTGTTTTTTCTTTCTGTTGTTCAAATTTCTTTTTTATTTCGTGTGATTGAGTGTTTTGCCTGCAGGAGATTCTAGGCACTGTGTGTATGCAGTTCCCCACAGAATACAGAAGATGGCCTCAGATCCTCTGGAAATGGAATAACAGACGATTGTGAGTCGCCATGTGGGTGCTGGGAACCAGACGAAGGTCCTCTGGAAGAGCAGTCAGTGCTCTTAACCACTGAGTCATCTCTCCGGTCCCAACACTGAATTTTTGAGATAAGATAAAAGTTAAGTAAAATCAGTGCAATTACTTAAGGGAGCTTTGGGTCAATTTTTTTTAATTAAAAAATTTTGAGATAATAGGTTTGTCTGTGACTGTACCCTTGACTAGGTGACCATCTCCCCAGTGATGACATCACACAAAACTGTGTTGCAATATAATGAAGGGAAACTGACAGCATAATCTACCCATCTTGTTGGTCTTCCATGTACTAACTGAATGTCTATGTGTGTATTCTTATTACATGTGTGGATCTTGCACACATATATACACACACACACACACATCAATGCAGACGGTGTCCCATGTTTTACTGTTTCTTCACCTCCTTCCAATGACTGAAGAGAAGATATGCACCCCTTTAGCAGATGCCCACACTGGCTGTCCTAGGCTGCCCCCCTCCAGGATGCTGGGGTGGCAGGTATTGTGTTCCCTCACTGGAAGCAATGGCCAAGGAGCAACAGGACAGACAGACTCTCCTAGGGACTAGCTCTGCAACTGGGGGCCAGTTTCCCAAGTTCACTGAGACTCTCTGCAAGAAGGCATATTTGCTTTGCCTGCCCCAAAGGTGAACGGAGCCAGGCGTGGTGGAGCACGCCTGTGTTCCCAGCACTTGGGTGTAGTGTGAATCCATGAGAGTCTGGTAAAGGTTCTCAAGAATTATTTAGGTCTAAAATAGGGGTAAGCACTCACTGATACAGAACGGGCTGGACGACGACACTGATCCAGCCACCTTTGTCCAGTCAGTCTGCTCAGGAGGTGAAGAGCGCCACCCACAAACCACCTGCTTTGCTCCGTAACCGCCTGCTTTGCTCCGCACACCCAAGACAGCACAAGAACAAGAGAGCGAGAGGAGAGCGAGAGACCCTTTCCTTCCACTTCTAAGTTGTTACCTAGGCAGACCAGAGCACACCAAGGGCTTGCTGCCCCCAAAGACGTTGGCTAAACGGATCGAAATCCCACCACACCTGGGAGGATGAGGTAGGAGGATGAAAAGTGTGAACCTGGGCTATGTGGTGAGCTCAGGGCCAGACTGGTTTATGTAGAGGCCCCCTCCCATGTCAAAAGGAATTATATAAATAAAATGAAGTGATGGTAGTTGTTAAGTACTGGGGATAATGGAGTGAGAGGCCTGGAAACAGAGGTTGCTCCCGGGTCAGGCTGTGGTAGTTTGCTAAATGGAGAGGGGAGGGCACTGAGTCTCTGCCTTCAAGCCCAGGCCCAGCTGTGAATGGGTACTCTGTTTCCTCCACCCCAAACATCATAAAGCAGGGACAAGGGTGACCCAAGACTCTCTGTCCCTTGAAGACCCACTGTGCTTCTAAAGGGGTTACATGGAGGTTAGGGCTCCTGAATCAAAGGGAAGTTCCACTGAACCTGCTGCTATCCCCACAGGAGAACTCCACGGTGTTTCTCTCCACCTTCCAGTTTCCAGCACAGACCACCCTAGCCACACAGCCAGGTGTGTGGTCCCAGCTCTGGCTGGCACGCACACCCCATGTGCAGGTGCAGGCACTCCGGAGCCATCCTCCGCGGTCTGTGAATGTCAAGGCCGCCCTGCAAGTGTGGAGGACCCATCCCTCACCTGCGTCAGGTGGGAGGGATGTATCAACACAGCTGGCACGCAGGCTCTTTGATTATTTATGAAGCTTTCGTTATTTCACGTATAAATAATCAATGACTGCAAAGCGTGGCCGGTGCTGCCGTGGAATATTCATGAGCAACATTTGTGGGGATTTCGGCAGCCGCCTGGGCCCCAGATGCAGCGGCTTGCACGCGTATGCACACGCACGCCACAAATAAAAAATAAATCGGCATAATAAAGATTTCATCTGTCAGGTTCCTGACTTGTCTCCGGGAGAGAGGCAGCTGGTGGATTGTAGGCACTCGGGGTCTGTGGCTGGTGTTGGCTGGAGCCCCCAAACCCCACACCAGATGAGAGAGGAGGGAGAAGGACCCCAGCTCCCCAAGTTTCACCAGCACAGAGACTGATTTGAGTTTTCCTTTATGTGGTCCTCCCAGGGCCTTCTGGGACAGGCTGGCCAGTCCTCAAAGAGGGTGCTTGGGGGGTAAGGACACCCCAGAATCCTGAGCAAGGTGGAAAACGGTCCCAGTGGGCAGGAGGATTGACCACTGGAGGAGGAGGCCTGAGCCAATAGGGCGAGGAGCCGCCAAAGCTGGCCCTTGCTTAGTTCTTTAACCCCACTCCCTACAACTGCTGTCTGCCTTTCCTCCCCTCCAGCCTGCCCACTGCTGCCCCCTGACTTGGCACTTCTCCCTTCCTTGCTGGTGCCTAGCTGGTACTTGCTCACCCTTCTGTCTGTGGAGACACCACCTCCTCTGGAGTTTCCTTCAACTCCCTAAGCGGGGAGAAATCGTTCCTCTGGGCTTTGGAGACCACTCCAATCTCATTCCCCCATGTGGTAAGAATCCTCTTGCCTTCCTCCCACACCTACATGAAGCTATACACTGTGACAGGGACAGCTTTGCTATGAAGTCCGTTCTACCCAAGCTGTGTGGCTTCCTGGCTGTGTGCCCTTGGGCAAGCTACTTAGCCTCTCTGTGTCTGTGCTTCCTCTTCTAGAAAGTTAAAATAACAAAAAAAAAAAAAGCAAAACTGACTTTGCAATAAAAAACAGATGTTTTAATACAGTGAAAGTGCACGGTGAGATGCCCGGCTAGACGCCTGCCGGGAAGTGGACATCCTCTCATGTGCCCCTGGAAGTGGACAGCCCCCTGTGTGCCCCTGGAAGTGGACAGCCCTTCATGTCCTGAAGTGGACAGCCTCTTTATCATAATTCCAATGTCCCCAGAGTTTTGAAAACAAATAAACAAAACAATGTCTAAAAACTCACTTGGCAGCAAACTCACCGCTGACCTGACCTTCAAGCCTCTTCTATATACACTTGCCAGCCTTGTTTTGTGCGTTTTCCTATAGAAACAGGAGTCCCCTGGAAGGAGCCATAAATACAGAAAATATTAAGTTTCTAAAATTTGAAAAAGTATCCAACATCTGAAATGCAGTTGACCCTGAAGGTTTCTCTAAAGAACTGGGGCTGACAGCCTCCACGGGCTCTTACCATGGAGTGGAGGCAGGAGGATGGAAAGCTTGAAATCTGCCTGAGTCATATAGTTAGACCTTGACTCAAAAGAGACAGGAAGCTGAGAGTGTGGCTCAGCTGACCCAGTGCTTGTCTGGTGTGCACACGGCCCCAGGTTCAGTCCCCAGCCCCATGTGAACCAGGCCTGGAATTGCAGCATGACTCAGGAGGTGGGGGCAGGAGGATTAGAAGTTCAAGGTCATTCTCAGTTAAAGCCTGCCTGGGATACATCCTGGAAGAAGAAGGGGGAAGGAAGAAGAAGAAGAAGAAGAAGAAGAAGAAGAAGAAGAAGAAGAAGAAGAAGAAGAAGAAGAAGAAGAAGAAGAAGAAGAAGAAGAAGAAGAAAAGAAGAAGAAGGGGAAGGGAGGGGAGGGGAGGAAGGAAGGAGCGAGGGCCGGCCCCCCCCCCCCCCCCCGCGCGCCCGGCCGGCAAGGAAGGAAGGAGAAAAGAAATGAAAGCTCCCAGTCCCCGAGACAAAGCCAATTTTACTCAGCTCCAGCAGTGCTCCCTAAATGCTAGTGGCCATACTGCTGGCACAGGAGGTGGCCCTTCTTCCCTGACTCTGCCCTGCTACCCCTCTCCAGAGAACTCTGAGTCACAGATCCAATTTGTCAACTTCCCTGAGGTTATCCTTTGCTGTTGGTGACAGAGCAGAGTTGAGGCCTTTCGCGGCCTCCTTGAGGCTCCCTTAGGGGAAGGGGTCAGAGGTCACCAGGCTCCTTCCGGCTCCTGGTCAAGGGCAGGCCTGCCCTTCCAGAAAGAGGGGAGGCTGATCTCATACCTTCCCTAGCCCTCCCCAACCCTCCCCACAATGGAAAGACCTGGAAGGAACGATGCCTGAGGTAAAATGAACCCGTGTATCACCTTTACTGGGTCTCCTGTGCACAGCAGCCTGATGTGAATTAGCCGAGGCTAGTCACCTACATATAGGTGACCCACATGCAGTAGCCACTGGGTCCCCTGTTCCATCGTCTCACTCCAGGGGTGGGGCTCCTTAGGTGGGCCAGCCCTAATGGACACATTCCTATGCTTTGACTCTGGAGTCAGATCCCAAGGACAGAAAGACCAGGAATCTGCATTGGCAAAGATGGTCCCAGCAGGTTAGCACTTACCACAGGCTGGATGACAGGACTGAGAGGGCTGGAGCAGCCTGGGCAGCCAGCCTCGTTGTCAAGGAAACAGGAAGCTGGCTTTGCAGATGAAGAAACTGAGGCCAGTGAGCAGAGTACAATGCTGTGCACCCAGGTCTGTGTGTTTGTCTGTCTGTTTCTCTGTCCTCATGGTGTCTCTTTGCCCTCCTACGGCCCACCAAAGCACAGGTAAACTTGAATGTGACTCTAAGTCAGAGCCACACCCACACCCTCAGGGTCCCAGGAACCCAAGGCAGGGGCTGTCACCTGCTCCTGACAGGGCATCCTGGGATGAGAGCGCTGGTCCGAAGCGGCCCCACTCTGTCCCCTCTCCTGTTCCTCACCCTATTCTCCACTGTCAGACCCCTGCTCATTGTCTTCTGGTTCCCCAGCCCCTAAATGACTACCACACACCCCCCTCCCCACTTCGGACTTACATAACTGACCTCCTGGCCCTCAGAACCAAGCTGACTCCCCTTAGGTCGCCATTTCTATCCCAGCTCATTAAACACCTGGTGCCCTCATCTGTCCCAATGTGATCCTCATCTGGTAGCCAGATGAATCCATCCTGGGATTCAAATAGCCCCAGTTACTCTGCTCACTTGCAAGATGGTGGGACCTTGGCTTCACAAACATCAGGCTCCAAGCAGCACTTGGAGGAGTTCTCTGAGGCTATGCTGTTCACCATTTGTAGGTCAGAGGCATAGCCAGAAAGAGCTGCCCCAGGTTCAAGGACAGGACTTCGAGCTCAGAGCCCAGCCTGCTCCCCCTATCTGGGTGAGAAATCCCAGGACCACTTGCTCCTACAGCTGAGTCAACAAATGTTTCCTCTTATAAAACCAACCCCATGTAGGCTCTCCAGAACTCTGAGGCTGCATCTGAGCTCAGCAGGGAGGTGCTCTGTGATTGATTAGCAATGTCTGCCAAGGCTGCAGTCTAGGAGATGGTGGTGCATATGTCATGTGTTCGTTCACCTGTTCCACATTCATCACACCCCTGGTGCTGGGTGTGTTGTGTTGTGTTTTGAAACAGGGTCTCACTGTGTAGCCTCGGTTGTCCTCGAACTTACAGGGATCTTCCTGTGGCAGGCATGTGCCACTGTACTCAGCGTGGCTTTTTGAAGAGACTTCATGAATGGTAGAGGTAGATTTTCTCTCTCTCTCTCTCTCTCTCTCTCTCTCTCTCTCATTGGAAAGGAAGATCTTTTTATAACCACTCATAAAACAGTGGTCAGCCACATCCCTTTCCTTCATGCCATATGGCCCATGCGCCTCCAGCAAGCACAGAACCTACCGAAGCTTCATTACCACATTACAAAGCAAATATAAAGCTGCCAAGTTGGTACAAGGGTTCAGGCTTTAAGCTCCTCTCCATCCGTGGCAGTAATGAATTTTTTTAATTAAAAAAACAAAATCCAAACTGCCTGCCCTGGATCCGAAACAAAGAGTGGCGAGGAGGAAATGGCCTCTGGTGAGCTGCTCTGTGGGTCCTGGGCAGGTAGATGAGGCGGGAGGGCCAAGTCATTCAGATTGCTAGAACCAAATGACTTCCCACGGCAGGTGACCCGCACTATTAACATGCTGCCAGTGCGCCATGTTTCCTCGGGGCAGCAGATGGGATACCAACCACAAGCTCCGACTTCCTACCCAGCCGCCACTCCTGCCAACCTGCGCACCCCTCTCGTCTTCCCATCCAGCCACACGTCTCCTCCACAGTCCTCACTCTCCAAGCTCATTCCTGCCTCAGGGCCTTTGCACTTGCTTTTCCCACCATCTTGTGCTACTTCCTGGTGCCCCCACAGCTCCCACTGATCCTTCTGAAGTCCTCAGCTTAATTGTTACTAGACTGGAGAAACCTATCTCAGCAACTTACACAGAACAGCCACTAGGGCTGGAGAAATGGTTCAGTGCTTAAGAGCACTTGCTGTTCTTGCAGAGGACCCGAGTTCAATTCCCAGCACCCACATGGTTGCTCACAACCATCCGTAATTCCAATTCCAAAGGATCCTATCCACCCTCTCACCCACAGTGGGCACTAGGCACACACATGGATCACATATTCACATGTGAGCAAAACACTCATGTACGGAAACTAAATCCAAACATCAAAATCAAAACAGGCTTCCCTCTGAACCACTCTGGTTTGTGTGATGAGACAGAGTCTCACAGGTCTCAGGCACGTCACGTGGTTTATGTGGTGATGGGGATCGAACCCAGGGCTGTGTGCACGCTAGGCAAACGCTCTCCCAACTGACCCACATCCCTGGTGTCCCCTCCGTTCTTCACCATCCTTACTCAGCAGTAGTCACCCATCTGTCCCTCTCCCTAGTCACAACACAGGTCCCCCAAGGACGGGAATCCAGTTCATTTTACGAATTGCCCATACTGTTTCCGGTGCCTAGAACAGCTGAGCACAGGGCAGGCCTCGGTCCCTGTGTGCTGGGTGAGTGAGGGCCAGGCATTCCGTTTCGTGCTGATGACACCAAGGCTCAGAGCAGCTGATGCCTCGCCCAGCTGTGCTCTGGGGAGTCCGCAGCGCGAGCGCAAACAGAACCCACAGAACTCCTTGTTCTGTAAACTCAGCAGTTCTGCTAAGCAGGACTTCTCTGTTTTTACAGATACGGTCCAGCTGGAGGGATGACTGGGTCAAGATCTCTCACCACAGTGCGGAGGAGAGGCTGGGATGTCGTGCTACGTGTGCCTAAGCCCCTTTGATAACATCTGTGTCTGTGCTGGGTGGATTATTTAGACAAGCCCTCGACCTTCCATCCAGATTTTTTTTTTCATTTTATGTGTCTGTGCCTGAATGTGTATATGTGCACCATATGCACGTGGTGCCAGAAAAGGCCAGAAGAGGGCGTCAGCCTCCCCGGGAACTAGAGCTTCCCTTCCACAAGGCAGCTGTGACCCGCCATATGGACTCTGGGGCTCAGCTAGGGCTCTCCGCAAGAGCAGTGCTCTTAACTGACAAACCATCTCTCCAGTCCCAGTTTTAGAAACTCCAGCCTAGCTTCCAATTACTTGATATGCAGCAGCCCATTCCTCACTCTCTCGGCATCCCCAGAGCTACACAAGGCCGTCACTGGTGCGACCGAGACGCTTCACTGAACCTGGAGGAGTAAATCCATAGGCTCCACGCACCGAGGACCTGAGCACCCTTCCACTACATCTGCACTCTGCCCTTTGTCCCCTCCCAGGGCCTTGCCTTGCCACCGTGATGTATGAATCCTGTCAGTCTGCAGCCTGAGCCACAGAGACAGCTGGAAGTGACAGGGCTGGGAGTAGTCATCCATCAGGCCATGGGGAATGAGGCCTGGTCAGAAACATGAAGAAGGAGGGTGAGCCGTCCAGACCTTCCAGGAGACAGACAGTGCGACAGGGACGCTTGGCACACTTGTGGAGAAGGCCATTGTCCCACAGCAGGACCGGGATGAGGGGGGTGAAGACACGTGAATTGTAGCCTAATAAAGACAGCCACCAGCGGGAGCGGGAGACATGAAGAGTCAGATGAGTCAAAAGCAGCCCGGGAGTTGCTGAGTCTCTTTATTCTGAAGACAAAAGAGAAACACAAATGACAGGCAGGCAGACTGGGTTAGCAAGATTCACTCCCCTAGCAGCTGGGCTGGAGGACTTGGTTGAAATTACCTCACAGGTAGTGCCTAAAACCACCGCACCTGCTGGGCACCAAGAAGCCCAGACGCTGGCCCTGAGGCCGCTGTCTACCCATCCTCATTTGCTTTCTTGATTTAGCACTTGAGGCTTTTCACCTCTTCCTCATTTCCTAAGAGCCACCAGGAGGCCCTGTGCCCGTTATCTTGTTTGTCTCCCCGCAACTGGCTCTTTGTGACCCTTGGTGACATCTGTCTCTACTAGCCCCCACCTGGATTCAATTTCCCTTCCACGAGTTCCTTATTTTAGCTGGTGACTGACTTCCACCTCCAACCTGTCCCATCCCCTGGCCAGCGGGCCCCCAAGCATGAAGATCCAGGCTTTGCAGTGGGTGAGGGAGTCCCACATTGCTCTCAACTGTGGGCAGTTGGCACAGAGGCAAAGGTAGGAGAGACGAGGCTGTAGTCGCAGCTTTCTTTTTTCTGGAACAGAGTTGACATTCCAGGCCAGGTCTTGCTGAATGTTTGGGCACACATGCACACGCACACACACACACACACACACACACATACACTCACTCACTCACACACACACAGAGTGATAGAGAGACAAACACACAAACACAGTGACAAACAGACAAGCAGACACACACACTGACAAGCAGAGAGACAAGCAGACAGACACACACATACACACAGACATACACACAGTGACAGAGAGACATACAGTGGCAGACAGACAAGCAGGCAGACACACTCACTGACAGAGAGAGAGTCACATACACAGTGGCAGACGACAGACAAGCAGGCAGACATACAGTGACAGACAGACAGACATACACACACAGCGACAGATAGATAGACAAACAGGTAGACACACACAGTGACAGGCAGACACACGCACAGACATACACAGTTACAGATCAACAGACAAGCAGGCAGACACACACTCACACACATACATACACAGTGACAGACAGATAAGCAGGCAGACACACACAATGACAGACAGGCAGATACACACACACACACAGTGATAGACAGACACAGACACACACACTGACACACAGTTACAAACATACAAGCACACATACACATAGTGACAGACACACACACATAGACACATACACACTCACACATGACAGACAGACAGACACCACAATAAAGATACATGCTCTGAGCAGTTTAGTTTATAGTCAGACTCAAAGATTCACATCTTTCTCATAAATACCTAGGAACCAGAGAATCATCGTGGCCCCAAAACCCAACTTTGCCCTGTAAAAATGCCTCCCCATGGCTCCAGAAACTAGGGACCAGAGAAGGAGCCCCTGGGAATGCCCAGCGCCCCAGAGAGGACAGAGCTCCCCAGACATTACCCTCCCCGGATGGCAACAAGGAAAGAGGCGGCCTTTCCTCTGCACTCCAGCTAGGGAAGGAGAAGATTTATTCCCCAGACACCCTGTCAGTCGGAAACCTCTCTTCCTGCTCGCCAGCCCATCTGTCTGCAGGTCCCTGCGAATTCTTTGTTTCCTTCTTTCTTTGTATGCTCCTTGATTTATGAGACCAGACCTGAACATCTCTTCTCATTTAACTTACTTTGAAACCCATTCAAGTTGTTTCAATAATAAATCAGTCTCAATAAAAAGCAAAGTTTCCACCTGCTTGCACGGGACCTAGAAAGTGGGACTTGGGTGGGCAGAGGGGGAGGTGCGCCCCCTAGAGGCTGGAATGCAGGTGGCAGTGCCTGCCCTAAAAAAAAAAAAAAAAAACCACAGGAGGGTGCCGTTCTCTAGCAGACACACCATGTACACACCACATTCCATAGACACCACACAAGCCATGTACGTACACTGAAGATATACCCACATGTGCCACACTCCACGTGTGGGTCATATACCAAAAATGCATCACATGTGTCCTGCCTGTGCATTGTATGTATACCAAATATGCCTCATATGTACTCTGTGTGTACCAAATCCCACACAAAGTCGGCATCACGGAATGAGGCCAGAAGCATGACTCAGTTCCTCACCAGCCCTCACCTGCTGCTGCCATCCTGAGCTCCTCCTTGCCAGTTGGGACTCTCACTCAGAAGGGTTTTTCCCAGCTCTCCTAGTCCCTACTATTCCCGCTCCTGGCTCCTGCTCACTTAGGTGACCCTCCCATTTTCCTTATTGATGAGCTGTCTGTGTGAAGGCCAGAGAGCAAGGATGAGGGTCTTCATCTACCATTTTTTCCCTGATTCCTTGAGACAGTATCTTTCATTGAGCCTGAAGCTTGCCAACTCAGCTAGTACAGTGGTCTGAATGGTAGACAGTCCTCCATGGTCTCAGGCATCTGGAGAATTGGTCCCCAATTTGGTGCTGTTTGATGAGGCTTTTAGAAGACTTGGTCTTTAGGGAGGAAGTGTGTCCCTGGAGGAGGGCTTTGAGGTTCCAAAAGTCTCTCTCTCTCTCTCTCTCTCTCTCTCTCTCTCTCTCTCTCTCTTTCACACACACACACACACACACACACACACACACACCACTCTCAGTTCGCGCTCTGTGGGTTGTGATGTGAGCCCTTAGCTCCAGCTGCCATGCCTGCCTGCTGCCATGCCAACCATGATGGTGATGGGTTCTAACCCTCTGGAACTACAAGCCCAAATAAACCCCCCTCCTCTAAGTTGCCTTGGTCATGATGTAGTGCACACAGCTAGACTGACTGGATAGCAAGCCCCAGATCCCCCACTGCCTCTGCCTCCTCAGCACCAGGTACCCACCCCACACCCAGCTCCGATCTGCATTCTCGCACGCCTGGCTTTACTCACAGAGCTCTCTCCCAGCCTCATCTCTTCTCATCTTGAACTAGCACCCAGCATGTGGCTGAGCTTCCTCCTGCTTCCATGGGCGATCCACTGCACCAAACTGCACAGCCTGCCCACCACCTAACATCACCACCCCTACCCTCACCCAGGCCTTGCCACGTAGAAGCACCTTCTCAGTGTACCCCAACCAGATATGAGGGCAACCTCTCTCTGGGAAGACAGGCTGGAACCACCTGGACCCATACACAGCTCTGCCGGGTTTGGCTCTGTGACCTTAGGGAGGTGACTTAGCATCCCTGATATCCATGTCTCACCATGTGAGGTCACAAAACTAATGTTCAGCTCAGCAGGACACAGGGAGGCTACTCAGGAAGCAGGGGTTGCAACTCAGATCTCAACTGATGGTCAGGACTGGGAACCAACAGCGATGCTGAAGGTTTCAGAGGGTACATAGCACCCTCCTAGCAAAGGGAGAAGTCAGAGAGGAGGTTGGAGGAGTTAGAAGAGGGTGTGACTTTTCACAAGTCCCACACCACCCCCAACCAGCAAGTGTGATTTTCTCTGGCACTGTGAACAAGCTATCCTGACAGCTGGGAAACATGGCCTAGTTAGGGACCTGCTAATGATGGCCTCTGTTAGCTCAGGACTGATTGAATGGTCTGCAAACCTCCAGCTCCGACCTCGAGCCCTCAGAGGCTGCACCTGAGAGCAAGAGGTCAGAGGACACAGAGTTGGGGCATGTCTTCATTTCAGGAACAGAGTGGGCGAGCTAGAAGCTGAATGACAGAGGGGCCACAGGATTGGGGACTTGGACCTGAGGATTGGAGCTGAAAAGAAACAGGATTGAGCAGGACCAGAGAGAGCTAAGCAAGGCAGGGCCTGGGCAGGGGTGACGGTAAGGGAAGGAACTCCAGGCAGGCCAAGGGGTTGGGGGTTGGGACATAAAAACAGCTCAAGCTAGGCTATCTCAGACAGACCTTGCCGGACCACCAAGTACAAGTGTGCAGCCCAAACCTGCAGCAGAAGCTGGTGTCAGAGCCAACCTCAGCCTTCTCTTTTGACAACTCCTTGGAGCTGCTCTCTATTGGGAACAGAAGGTGTTCCGAGAGGTGACGGGGTGCTGTGTTCCCCTAAAAATAACTGTGACAGATTCTTTGCCTGTCAAGAAAGAGAATAGCTCAACTCTCTCTTGTCGAGGGTTCTGTTCATTCCTCTAGCCAGTGACTCTCAACCTGTGGGTCATGACCCCATGGGGAGAGGTCAAACAACCCTTTCACAGGGGCCACATATCAGATATCCTGCATATCAGATATTTACATTATGACTCAGGAAGTAGCAAAATTACAGTTAGGAAGTAGCAACAAAAAGAATTTTATGGCTGGAGGTCCACACAACATGGGGAACTGTAGTAAAGGGTCGCAGCATTAGAAAGACTGAGAAGCACTGCCCTAGGCCCTCTGCCCTCTAAGATTAGGGCGAGTCTGGGTACCAGGCGACCTTTCCTTCCCTACCATGGACAGCCACTATTGGGCCTGCATAGCACCTGCATCTCCCTTCCCTTCTCCTGCCCCTCTCCCCCACAGTCACCTTTATTTCTGTCCCTAACACCATCCTAGGGACAGGAGCAAGAGGTGGGCAAAGGTATCTGTCCCCTTCTGGCTGTGGCCTCCACGGGAAGGACAATACTGCCCTCTCCGCCTGGCTTGACAGCCCACTCAACAGCGGCAGATGGCTCCACACGCCGGAAGGCACACGATCAGCTAAGGCTTCATTTACCAGCCAGGTTTAATGGAAAGAGGCATACCTGCCTTCCAGAAAATAAGGCACCAGTCCCTGGTGCGTGCCCACCGCAGCTTGTGACAGGGCATCCTTTCCTCTCCCTTGCCACTGCCCTCCCCAGCTCCTGGCAGGAGCTACCGCAATTATTAATAGGAAGCTGCTTCTCGGGGCAGTCGGCTGGGCAGGTGCATCCATCTCCCTGGGAGCGGCTGTCACCCCAGGGTTCTGTGCGGTGCCTGAAGCTCAGGCTGGGAGCTTGGTCTTATCCTGTTTCTCTCCTCCTCCTGAGACTGACACAGGGAGGCCTAGGGGCCAGAGGGAGCTGAGGTGTCCTGCAGGTGTGCTCCCGGGAGAA